ATAAAACAGTATGAGAACATCAGCATTGAACAGAATCTGCAATAAATTCTCTTCTCGAACTAACTCAAGTCATAAACTTTTCAGTCGAAGACACCTTTACGTTTTGGTTCATTAACAATCCTTTCATGTCGTTGTTGTGTTTTTGTTTTTTTTTGTCTGCCATCTGCCAGACAGCGTACATGGGTGGAACTAGTCCAGAGCGCAGTCTCCTGTCAATTTTCCAGGGAGAGGCTCGAAACAAATGAAGAGTTGTAGGAGGAATTAGAATCATAACAATTCTACTGAAATCCCTGGCACCGTGTCTGAAAGATAACTGCAGATAACAGTTTCAAATTACTCTAAGACTGTGGTTCTCAAACTGTGGTATGCGTACCACCAGTGGTGCGATGGGAAAATTCAAATTTCCACATTTAGATTTCCAATTGAATAAATCTGAAACATACCATGCATAATTAATACAACATTTAAACATAAACATCTTTATAAACCTTTATAAACATCTTTTCTGTGGTGGAAGCTAACAGTGAAGGCCTCTGCTGCTATATTCTAATGTTGGTCATCATGGTGGTACTCAGAGAGATCAGTGTTTTCTCAGGTGGTACAGAGTGCTCTAAAAAAAAAAAAACTTTAATTCTATCTGGGTGCACTGTTGGTCTACGATTATCACAATATATGATCAAAATACACACATTTGTTCTGATGGACAGATGGAACCATGATGACAAGACGTAAACATCAACATACTGTACGGGGTTAAATGAGATTGTGTTAAAATAAAAATTTTAGTACATGACTTAAACACTGGGGCTCTCCACATCTGAGGTGTGAAGGTGAACTCACCTCTCAAAACGGCAGGAGTTCAGTCCTATCTTCACAGCTACTGCACTGCCTGCATTCAGGTGACTGCCATCGATGGTGATTCTGGTTCCTCCAGAGAGCGGACCCGTGGAAGGGTGGACACGGGTGAAGTACGGAGACTGGAAAAAACAAAGACACAAAGAAAAACAAAAGGTCAAGGTCGAAGGAAGTTTGATTTTCTCAAATTGTAGAGAACTTAAAGGAAGTTTAAGCTGTAACCGGAGAGGCCAACACTCACCACAAATGTAAAGGCCTTGGTTGAGATGGCTTTGTAGTCCAGGTGAAGGCAGTCCCTGACACACACCTCCACCTGGGCCTCCTGCACCCTGTAACCCGTGGCATCGTTGAGGCGACACACGATCCTGACAAAAAAAAAGAACCGCAGAAATGGAAGCGAGTCAGAGAGATTTATTATCACTCTACCAACAGTACAGTGTATGAAGCAGGTTTTCTGACAGAGGGAGAAACATAGCCCAGAATAAACTGTTTCAGTTGGCGTAATCATCAAAATAACAAATGCTCTATTAGTGGAAATCTACAGCCTCCCCGTGCGGGTCTGCATTAATGCGAAGTGTAGAACACTACATCTCACACTTGGCCCTGGGCGCCGGGCGGCCAAATGAAAATCCACCGGAGAAATGATTGAATGAGGGGAGGAGTGGCGATGTAGCCCACAGGGGGAACACACAGGCTCACTCACATGTAGACACACACACACACACACACACATATACCTCATGTTTCACCCACTGGAGACTCACTTGACTGTTAATTAGCCCAAGCGAATGAGTAAGATGGAGAGAAAGGGTGAGAGTGCAGAGTAAAGTATAGAAAAGAAAAAAAGAAATAAAAAACGGCAGAGACTGAGAGGCTGATTAATGAAACCAGTTCACAGGCTGCACATTTCTACCATACAGTATCCCAACTTTTCTGCCTCCATCCAACCTCCCTGCAGGTGGCGACTGCAGGAGCACCGTGATGACGATACATTTCGCTTTCCAAACCATCGTCTATTGTGTTTATTTTCTCGTACATTTATTTACACGGGACGTCATTAAAATTCTGGCCAGCTCTGGGAGAGCGCGTCTTCTGCCGGTATCATTAGAGAACAGATGACAGGTGGCTGCACTAAGCTGTTATTACCTAGTTAGAGGGACACAAAGTGCTTTGTAAATTTTTAAATGACGCTTCCCTCAGGAGCAAGAGTGACGCCATATCTGATTAAACGTGTCAAATTAAGAAATCAAGGATTGTCACAGAGAGAAAAAAAAGCAGCTTAGTTAGATTTAAATTATTGAAGTGATTTAGATGTTGTCTGAAAAGAATTAAATTATTATCATTTCAAAATCCATTAGAAGAACCTGTAGATTCTTATTTATTATTGGCCTTTATCATTAGCATTAGTTTAGCGTTTGTTGCAGGTCTATATTTTTAAATCTGACTTTATTTGGCATATTGTATCATTTTGTCAGTGCATAAGAATAGCGTCTTCTTAGCCTTTTAGCTCAAACTGCATTAATAGATTTATTTAGTACAGAAATTAAGTTATACAAGAAGAAAAACAACAATTAATCTACATTTCTGCCAAACACTTAAACTTTAGTTACCCCCCCCCGCCCCCCGTTGTCCTGCAGCAGGTGACCTTTGACCTAATCTATCACCCTGGTAAACCCCGTCCCCTCTCTGATAGGGTCAGTGTGATGATGAGAGCAACCAAGCAACTAATGGCACCAAATGGC